AGCACTTCCACCACAATGTACCTGCGATCATAACTTCTGTTCCTTTAATTTCTCCTGCGGTTTAGGATTCACTTGACACTTGCATGCAGAAGGGACCGTCATAAAATTTCTGCCTTAAAAATAATACTAACATAACATGTGAAATACTTCATAAAGCATGTAAACTCCAGCTTCTTCAAGCTGCTAGTGTAATTTGTTTAAAATACTTGCTCCCGACGTCACCTTTTCTGGTATGTTCTATTGAATGGAGAATTTAAAATGTTTTGACATATTCTCCTTTTATATGCATCAAGTGGGAATTACTATCATAAGCCATCACCCGAACGGTCGTTACTTTTCTATACCTCCCTATTACAGGCATCAGGCCCACCTAATGGAAACGTAAAATATTAATTCCACCTCGTTGAGGTGAACAGATTGCTGGGACTGACATGCCAAATGCAAACATCCGTCTGGGCATTATACCGCATACTTCAATAATAGCCACATCATATTAAAGAGGGAAAAACACATGAGTGTGGCAGCAGAGGAAGAAGCATTTCATTCTGGCGCTGCCTCTTATTGTCAGTGCAACACATAACCATACAAGATGGCAGCCTATTCCACCGCACATTATTTGTTCTCTAGCTGAGCATCAGTAAGCCCTGCTGTATGGCCAATGAGCAGTAAATACATTTTAATTTAACCGACACAAGTTGCCCATCCGTCAACACTAAGCATGATGGCATAGGCCAAATTCCTTTGGAATTATATGAGGGCAATTTTTCAGCTTGTGGGATGGTCCGACTTTCACGGGCATTCCTTCGGCTTGCAGCTCTGCAAGTTTATGGGTCTGTTAGGAATTCATCAAACAATGAACGATATCAATCTTATTGTGCGAGTGTGCCCTGGGTAAAAATAAGATGAAACCTTCCATTATGGGGCCTCCAAAGCATATTTGCCCTCTAAAATGGATCCAGCATTGACAATTTACACTTAGGGTGACCTTTCATAACTGCCCACATACTTGAAAGCCAATATTGTTTGGAGAGTGAGCAGAAAAAAAAACACAGACTGCAAAGCGCTCTGGGATATTATTGAATATGATAAGCAAGGAGACGTTTCTGCTCTGCAGTCGTTCGTTGATGGTCCACTAGGCGGGAGGGCTGAGTGCTCTTTGCATCGATGAGGGACCCTGCCAATAAACTCAGACAATATTGGACATGGGTATTGAGAGCCCTGAGTCCATTATGGCACCAGGTCCTTGACTTTATTTCAAAATAAAAAATAGTAAGTAATTGTTAGCGTAGGGCGCTACTCTCCACATGCAACGTCTTCTCAGACACGGAGCTGTAAAAGGGCATAATGGCATCAAAGGGTGATGCAGGGAGCTCCTTTCGATAACCCCTACTCAAGTAGATACCTTCAGCATGAATTAAACAGCAAAGGGTTTAGGGTGCACTTAACAGCAGGGACAGGGGCAAGAGACCCTAGGTCTCCATTCACAGAGACGGCCTTTTATTAAGATTTGATTAATCCTCTCACAATAGCTTAATGTCACACTTCACCTACTTTAGGTCCTCTCTTGGCAGAGTTAAGCAATGGATCAGTTATGCGGCAAGGGTACTCAAATGGTACATAAAATCGTCATCTATATTTCCATGATGAGTTTTCTGCTGTGGATGAAAAATGATCAGGGCCGGAGAAAGGCCCGATGGGTCAACGGGAGGGACAATGGCTTTTTCTATGCCATAGGGCGTCAAATGCTAAATCGAGTGGCTGTCCATGCATCAGTCTCTCCACATCTGCCTTTCCCTTTGCCTGTTGATAAATATCCTTATCTATGAGTAGCAGGTGATAGATTTCAAGCGGCACGTCTTGTCGGAGCTCTGCTCTCGTCCGCTCTGTTGGTATCCCACTAATCTAAACTATCTGCTAAGCGATCCAAGCTAGCAAGAGGCACCGACACCCTCTGGGGTCTCTTCGCCCCAAATCATGTTAGCTGCACTTCCTGCAGGATCGCCTCTAGGGTTGCCCCCGATGAATAACATCTATCAACACCCTGGAGTGGAGACTCTGAGTTTGTGGAGGCAAAAGGCTTCAGCCCTCAACTCAGACAAACCCTACAGCAACAGTCCCTAACTGATAAGCGACACAAGCTTGCATAAATGTGTGAAACAGCACGGGAGTCACAACCGCTGTAGGTTGAGAGACAACGAGAGGGAGATAAAGTGATGGGTACAACATATGTGTGAGCAAATTAATTGCTAAGGGAATTACGATCACTATCACTCCCCTTGATGGTGTTGAAGAAATAAAACAGGGATTTTTTCCTAGATCAGGGGAGAGATAAGGAAATAGCTGCCAGGCTGAACATATTGTCTCTCTATATCGGGGTGATGAGGATAACAAATATAGGAGTGATGTAAGTATTAAAAAATAATGTATTTCACAAATGAGGTCGGGTGATATAAGAGAAGAATGGGAGAAACTTTATCTTTGCCATCATCTCCTTCTTACAGACATGTCCCTTTCGTCTTTTCATTTACCTCCTTGCAAATTCATCCATTTTCTTCTGTAAAAATTTCATGAGAGAAAATAGGTAATTTAATCTTCATTAAACTTCCAGGGGGCCTCCTCCCTGGCCTGACCGGCTGAATTAACTGCCAGGCTTCGAGGGATTAAACCGCCGGGCTGAAATTCCGTAACCCTGACAAGCATTATATCACCGCATCTGTATTTTTTAATAGGCATGAGATGATCCCTCCCTGTTCAATGTCAAATAAGTCCTTAAGAAGCTCACTATATAGAAACTTTTGATGGACTGACCTGTGAAGGTGAAGCAGGAGAGTGGGGCAGAGATACGAGGGAGAGAGGCCCTGGTTTGGGATTGTAATGACGTTGAAAATGCATTAAGAAATAAGATTGACTTGCTTCTGTTTGAAATCGGATTGATGTGTCTTTTGGGATGCCCCCCCAGTATGAAAGACCCACTGAGTCTGTGGCTTTCATTCCTGACCAAAAATCGATGAGCCAGGATGTATGAGACGCTCCCACTCTCTACCCACCAATCTCCCGCAAGATACCCAGGTAACTGTCTCATCAGAAAGGGAATATGAGTCATAAAAGCAGAAGGCTAACGCACGTTGTTTTTTCTTCTTCTTCATTGTTATCAACTTAAACATTAAGAGCCCAGCCAGCAATGACGATAGAACAGTATACAGGGTTAGATCAACGGCCAGAAACACTGGATGTTTGATTTTCCTGAAATGGGACTGAACCAACAACAGAAATGTGGCTTCTCTGGTCTCGGTAAATCCATTCAGCTTCTGTGTGTGGAATTAGGACTGGCTGGTGTAATTGCATAACACATGAGTACGGCCTCGCGGGGTTAGGTTTTCCATCTTGCACAAAGTGGAGACAAGGAAATAGGAAATGCTTCTAGAATTGAGTGTAATTGTGACTGGCAGCGCCTAGAATTGTGTTCAGCCTGACACTTGAGGTACTCCGCTGGAGTATAGTGTAGCCCGAGGAACGGAAAACAAACTTCATGCCGGGCCCAAATGAAGTCACTTCCAGATTCCATTTGGAAGAAACATCCATAGACATTTCAAAAGGATTTACCCCCTCACATCACTTCAAAGAACAGATCCATGCAGCTGTTTATCAAACAACATTTTGAGGTCCATACGGGGGGAACGTGCGTTACACGTTCTGGTAGCGTGGTGATGTTCACTTGGAAAAAATGTCATGTAAGTGGGAAGCCTGCAAATATTGGAGGAGAGCTCGACCAAGCCTTGTACCAAGGGCCTTTTTCAAGCAACAAAAAAAAATCAAATTCTATTATGAAAAACCGTAACGATGGTAGAGAATCCACCCCACTTCATAAAAAAAACACTTAACTATCAGCATTGTGCTAAAGATCAGACTGGAAACATTAGAATAAAAACGATGGGTGAGTCAAACATGAGTGAAAAGACAAGTTTGATATTCTGATGTCCTGGAAATGACGGACTGCCCAGTGCTGCCGTAGTTAGGACACTGTGTCATGGACATCATTTGTTAAAAACGTATATTCAGTAGTAGTTTGTGGCAAACGTCGACAGTCCTACCTTTGTACCAGTGCAGCTTGGACAGTGTGTGAGACCAACTACACCCGGCCTCCTAACGTGCTGCCCGCATTCCAGCTCCCCACCCATTTTGACAGTAACTGGTATAATATGTGCAAGCTTTTACTTAAGTTTTTGTAGCTTGGTGTCGGCTCGCCAAGGTCTTCTCGATGGTTTAAAAAAAAGGACTCCAGAAGCTATTCCTATAGCTTTGTGTCTTGAGATGCACCGTCTTTCAGGTGTCAGGTATTCACACATGCAACGAGCACACTTTAAACATATTATTACGAGAAAGACAGAAAACCAGGCACTTTGTTTTCAGCAGTTCACAGTTCAGGCGTATCTGGGATGCTTTCAGACATCAGCTAGAAATATACCAAACATATAGAGTAAAAGCAAAACAAAACCATTAGCGGCCAACGCATTGGTGTACAGCCCTTGACGAAAGAATGCTGCCGAAATACACAAGACGGGTAGTGATGTCATGCTTCCACAGCACAGGGTAACAGAAAAAGTTAAGACCATTAGATGATAACTGGAGCTGCTCTACAAGACAGAAATTATGCCGAATCAAAAATGATTTCCTTCATAGAGCCTGACCGCTTGCGTTACAAAATTTGAGATCAAGTGTCCTTTACTGTAATTTCTTTTGGAGGTACTTATTGTAAGATGTACATCATCTCACTTGGGATTATAAATGCCCAGTCCAGTACAGGGTTTGCTTCTAAACTGCTCCATGTTTTAAGGATCCTTACGTAAATCTTTAAGAATAAACCTTTCATTCAGTAACTCAGCATAGGACTCTGTATGTTGTAGAGCAGCTCAGCGTGAATATTGTGACAGGAAGGACGCGTGAGTTGTGCAGTAAGAGGCGAGTGGTTCTGGGACGGCATAGTAAGCAAATACACACACCTAGGGTTCTGTTACCATAGTTAGCACCCGGCCACCGAGTGGATGGACTGGAAGGGCTTTGATCACCTGCAACAATAACGGCGATAAAAGAAAAAGAAAAGCAAAAAAACAACAAGAAAGGAATAAAAAAAAGAGGAGAGGGGAAGGATGGAGAAAAGGGGAAAGAGAAAAAGGCATCAGAAGTGACACAGCTTGGATATTTGGCAGGAATTAACCACTCCCAGAGTTTGGCAAAAACCTTTCAGGTTTGAAACCGCACACACTTTCCCTAAATTGACAAAGAACATTAAAATCCCCCAAAGAATTAGGAAAAAGTTGCTGTGTAGTAAAGACACACACACACACGCACACCAAATTCTGTTACCAAATATGAAATCAAAGTCCTGTAAACTCATATATGATCAAAGTGCATAATGCATATTGTGTCAAAATGTGCGTTGGAAAGTTAAAAAAATATATATCAGAAAAGGCAATGAAGTCATCAATATGTCGTTGCCATGCCACCAATCAGGTACAATTTCATGAATTTTATAATGACTTGGTACAAATATTTAAAAAATCTGGTTACAACAAAAGAATTACCTGCTCAACCTTAATAGAGATTTTTACATTTTACAGCTTTAATTGCAGTGTGGGGTCAGTACTCCAAACTGATTTTTTTCCCCTGCTTTTTTCAGGCAGCACCTGTGGCTCTTCTGCAGAACTCTGACCTCATATGAATTGACACTGGCACCCCTACCAGGTTTTACTCCTTTGCATAGGAGCCATTGAACGAAATTTGCAAATACCAGGATTACACTAAATCACTCTCAGTCCAAATACACCCGGCATGGCTACATTATAATAAGTGCTTCTTGAATGGCAAAGGAACAATAAAGCGCTCATGACCTTCACCGGGCCACATGTGAGCATGTTTCTATCACATCTTTCTGTAAGTTCATATGTTCCCATACTTGATCATCTTTATTGTGCATATCCTTGAGACCAATTAAAAGGACAAACACGATTACACACACAGAAACAAGTGAAAAAAGACAGAAACAATTAGAAGTTTGAATTAGGACACGTGTTTCTCAACGACTTACCGTTACGCGGTGTGCGTTTTCGCCGATCACGGAAGGCTGCTCCGGACTGCAGAGCTTCCATCAGGCTATCCATCACACCAGTTTCATCGCCTTCTGTAAGAAAACAGATAAAAAGAGGCGGAGATGTTTACGGCACGTACATTAAGACGTGAGCGCATTAAACACAGAGAAATGGCTGCTTCGAGGGCCAGCTGTAGGTATTCCACTGTGGAGGCATTCGGATGCCCTCTAACTGAAGCTGCATGAACAATCACTTTAACAACACAGCAAGAGATAACTAATATATGATATGAACAAGCTTTTTATAGCGTATGACTGAGACAGAGGCCTGTCACTCAGTAACTGTTCTTCTTTTCAGTATATAGCTGGGGAGGAGGTAAATACACTTGGAGCCTAGCAAATAATACAGGGAGAGGAGCCTCAGGATGAAAGCATCCACTGATGGTCAATGACAGATATTCTTTCTGTGGCTAACGCAGAGGAGCTAAGTGCTCTTTACAAAGATTTAGTGTGGAGCCCGCTCAATACTCGGGCGCTCTGTCATTGTTCAGTCAATGACACCAGGGCCGGCCTTCAAAAAACATTCCCCCGGCCCACCGTTCCAGCCGTTGTGTAGATCCATGAAACTAGAGAAGTGGTTGTCAGTCAGCATTGCTGAAAAGAGGCCGGTACGACATACTTGAAGTGCTATGAGGCCAACCGCTCGGCCAGCTGTGCCCCCACTGTGCACATGCGGAGTCCTGCTCAGTGGAAACACGGGTTCAAAAACAAGCTGTTCTATATCTGGGTCATCTATCTATACGCCCCAATACTAATGAGACAGAGCGGCACCCTTTTTATCATTCCGGTCCAGAACAGACATTATTTTAAACCAGGATCATTAGTGTGACTTATTGTGGAGCTGGAGACTTGGCCATCAATTCTTTTGCGTACATGAGTGAACTATCTCTTCCCCAGTGTTTACCATCAGGGTCCGGGCATCGTGTTCCTCTATGGCGCACATTCTATGGGAAACATTTGGAACAAACAAGTGGAGACAACTGCAACTTTCAGCACACGGCGCTTTTCCGATGGTGCCGGTGATCAGTCTTTTGTTACTCGTGCGAGCTCAAAGAGACATGACACATGGTGCACATTTAATTTATGAACAAAACACGTTGACACCGAGTGCTACGCGATTAATGTAAAGAAATCTTTTCTCTTTCTCTTACGGCAGCAAACCAACTAACCTGCGATCATTCAAGCAAGTACATGTCGACAGTACAACCTAGAATAGAAACAGGTCTTATGCAAATAACTCGTACTCACACTCATTTTGCGATCTCATTCCTTCTCTTTCTTCCTCAAGTCCTTCCCAAGGGCTACTTTGAAATCAAAGTATCTGTTCTGGCTGTGTGCTGTGCTTAAAACCCATTCCGATTAAATCAAGCTTAATTAGACCAGCTTTATCAGAACAAAACCAAAGCTGAGCCAAGTAGTGCTTATCTCGAATTGCAGCACTACACCTGAAATAATAAGCTCATTGGTTTAAAAGGGGAGTGGGGGAGGGGGGGGGCTAAAGAACAATATGGTGAACAACTTGCTGCTGCTATAAGTGTATCAACTCCCAAGACCTTTGGCTACTTGTTCTTATGTAGGCTAACAAGGACACACTGCGAGTGTGAGAGCGGGTAGAACGTCGGGTAAACATTTATCCACAACCACCTTGGCACAAGAAACTTTTTGACAAGCCCCTCCTTCCCTTCCGTCTTCAGACCTAAACATCACAGGGGGCACCTGACACTTTGATCAATTTGTCCTACTTCTAGCTTAACTGTGGCGCAATTCATCATTTGTAATGGCTCGTGAGCCCTTGTAGACTGGGGCTCGCCAGGAGGACAGCAGACACAAAGAACCAAAATGACTAAAATGGGAAAGATACTCCCCAGTCACTCCACGGCGCTCAATTAACTATGTCCTATTGGACCATAGTTTAAACTCCAGCAGGCCTTACTCTACAAAGTCTATTCAGCCCCCTCAGAGTATGAAGTTATTACCATATGTATCTGCTTTTGTGTGTAACAAAGACAAAGCAAGCCCTTAGTAGGCAATGAAATAAAGCTGTATATAATTCGAGGACACCTACTTGAGTAATCGTGCAAACAAACTTTCTTCACCGCTTATTGTAACACCGCCCACTTTAGCAGACACTTTTGCCACGTTCCTGCAATTACTTTTGTCTTATTTTGAGCTGTTAAACCTAGAGCAAATATTCATCCTCTTCTCATTAGCAGCAGTGGTATATTGCATGCAGGGGGAATTACAGAAAAGCTAACCTTTTACGCCAAAGATCTTTCTCAAGAGGAAAGATCCCCTCTGCTCACAGGAAATTGCTTTCTAAATGGGTTAAGACGGGCTAAGACCCAAGACATTGACAAACCCTTCCAGTGATGAAACACCTTGGTGGGCACCTCCACAGACGGCCTCGGGGTCCTTTAATGATCTTATTAAATCTTGTGGAAGTGTGGAACATGGTTGTGGCTTTTGCACTTTTAGGTACTTTCTTAAACAGTTACCTCTTTAAGAGCAGAAATGAAGCAATGTGAAACTTTACCTCCCAGAGAGAGAGACTGTGTACCTATTCCATATCTTTCCCTTTGATCCCTGCCTACCTCCGATCCCCAACACCCCCCCCCCCCCCTTCAGCTCAATATCAAATGGACCCCGAGGTGCCCAATGTAACACTGAGCCTTGGGGATTGGCTCACTCTGCAATATATTTACCAGCAGCACTATCACATTTCCCAATTAAAAGGGATAACAAGAGCAACACGCTCTCCGCAGGATTGGCGAGTAAACTTAACACACCAGATTACTTTTTTCCCAAGAAGAAAAAAGAAGTACCGTATACAGTAAAAGTGGAAGAAAGCGGCCGTGATGTACTATTCTCCATCCCGGGGGCTCAACGCAAAGTCAAGTGTCAACAGGTGCAGGCATGAAGGGGAAGGATAAGAAGAGCACAGATATTGAAAAACAGCATATGAGAAAAGATGTCGAAGAAAAACATTAACTAGGAGGTAGAGCAGGAGGAGGCGGGAGGGAGTAAAGAAGGCAGCGAGGGAGAATAAGGGAAGAGGTTTTCTCGGTGTGCGCAGTCAGTGCGGTGGAGTGGGTTATTGAGAGGGACTGGTGGAGCGAAGCAAGAGACAAGGTCGTAAAACACCTTCCCGCCTAATTGACGGCCTGAGCTCTGTGACATTTAATTATTTCTAAAACATACAGTGCAGTATGCAAGCGCAGGAACAAAGTCAGCCGCTTGGAAATTTTTGGGGACAGAAAATCTCAGATGCCAAATGAGCATTAGACGAAAAAAAAAAAAAGAGGGATGGATAGATAGTTGGAGGGAGGCAGATAGAGAGCATACTCCAACTAATCACAGTAGGATGACCTATACTCACGGTTGCTCATGGCAAGATCAGTTAGAGGAGACACAGGAATCTAGCCAAGTCTGTTATAAAACCAATGCATCATCAAAGCCTCAATACCAGCCAAGAACCAAGTAGGAATTAAACAAACGAGCTTAAAATATGCAAAAACTGACCTCATATTTGTTTATGTCTGCCAATTACAATCAGTAAATCTACAACAATCAGAATGTAGTAGGAGTTTAAACCCCCCCCCCAGAAAACAGCTGTTGCCACAAAAACGCGACAAGGCCTTTTCTCTCAATCATCTAAGCAAAAAAACCTTGTATGTATTTAAATGAAATGCTGGGAGTTTTTTAACACCAAAAAGCATAATTATGCTGCAGAGTCGAAAGAGCTTGTTCATGAATTCAATTTGCTATGTCTCATTCCCTGCATGTTGCGCGGGGGAGAAAAGCACAGCAGATCGATAGAGAACTCAAATTCTGATGGCTCACATGCAGCCTTCATGATTCATGGGGGAAAAAGTGAGACAAATAATGCATGAAAGCTTTTGTGCAATACACATGGATTTGGCACATGATGGCACATGATGACATATTTTATTCCATGAGAGAAACTAGTGGCAACTAGTAAGCGGTTGAAAAGTTAAAAAAAAACAAGATTATTTTGCAGGTTAATGTTTTTCATCATAGTCCCATTTTTTAACAAATCAAAGCAATATATCCTGTGGATTTATACAGGCTCAGTACGCCCCTCCTTAAACAAATGAAAGTGTTCAACATGAGGAACATTGGGCATGGGAGATGTCTATTATCCACTACTATCCACTCTTCCAGTAGCCAATTCCTGAGTCTAATTTGCACTGTAATGAGATCTAATGAGTGCTTACAGGCCTTGCGCTTGATGAATTGAAACCGCTGTGAGAGGAACTCTGAGGGTTTAACCTCACCCAAGTCGCCCTCCACGACTCCAGCGGAGAAGATTAGAAAAGAAATGGAGGAATCAAAAGGAGAGAAACAAGTCGTTGCTTGTTTTTCTGCTTGCTGCAGATTGTTTTTGAACACATTTGTGCCCATCTGTTCCTCCACAGAGAATCACCTGTGCAATTAACCTGGACCATTAGCTGTGAAGCAAAGGCCTTGGTAGAGGCAGGGGGGGGGGGGGGAGGTGGAGAGGCAACAACCACGCCATCTCTCAATATTGTCTCCCTGTCTCGCTTTCATCGCACACCTGGTTTTGTGACGAATTCAGGCTCGGCCACCTATACAAACAGCACCGACTCTTACCGCTCTGCTGTCTACCTGCTGACTGTCTGGCGTTGAGTGGAGTCACCTCCCCCTCCCTTTGACCTCTAACCTCCAGTCCCAGCAGCTCCCAAGGCCTCGGGCAGACGGAGACCTCACCACCACAGAAAGTACAGAGAAGTGCACCGAGGACAGTCGTCATACCACCTCTTAATGTCTTTCCTTTGTTTTTCACTCTCTCTCTCTCTCTCTCTCTCTCTCTCTCTCTCTCTCACCCTGCATTCAAACCACCCAACTCTGGAAAAAGCCTTGACAGAATGACTAAAGAAACCTTTCAGACAGGCCTTTAATTTGTAGGTGTGTGTGTGTGTATGTGCATGTTTACCAGGCTACTGCAGTGAAACAGAGAGGAGTAAAAGCAGACCGGAAGGGTAAGATGGCTC